TTAAAATCAAAGAATTGGGCAAACGATTGAAACAATTCCATAACCAAATAGTGACCAATAGTGTTTCCGTGTATCAGTACGCCAAACACAAGCCAACATGCAACGAAAATGTGTATTTGCAGCCATCGATCATTATTGGCATCGATCCGAATGAAAAACGTGGTTGGCTATAACGCGTCTCAACATCTTGAAACACCTGGTTATTTTGAAAAACGTTCGAAACTAATTGTTTTTTTTTTCATTTTGAATTTTGAAGGTAAACATCACAATACCAAACACTCGATTCCATTTGGAAACTCGGCAGGAAAGAAGAGAAAAGAAGGCGAAAAATTGGTTTAATATCGCAGAAAAGAATAACCCGAATCAGTAATTGAACACGGAGATGGTACATTGAGTACAGTATCAAAATTCTAAAAAAAAGGCAGCATATGCAAGGCGTAAATATTCACTACTGGATTGAGATTATCATATTCAGTCGACAGTGTCCAACAACTTGCCTTCAACGATTTTTTTTGAGCATCAGAGATAATATTCAATTGGCCATTTGGTCTGAAGAGACGAAAAAGGTTTGCGTAAATTTTTGGTGAGCGTCAAGAAACTTGGGAACATCAAAAAACATGCGCGATATGCCAAGAACGATTTCCAGCAAGCACAAAATGGCATCTATTTAAAGTGTGCTACGATTGCAAAGCAAAACCGATTGCTGGACTACCGGATTCAGTCGCTGGACTACCGGATATAATCATGTCTACGGTTATCAAACGTGCTTTACAAAGAGGACGGGAAAAAATTAGACGTCAAATTCTCAATGGCAATTATCAGAATGTGGAGGAAATACTTCGGAATGGGCGTTTAATGTAAAAGGTTAAAGTTACCTACAAAAATTGGCCAATAAAAGTTCAGGATGATGGTGCTGCTTCATATACAGTTGTTTGGAACCGCGGTATTATTGCTGCAAAATGCATTAGGCTCAAATGTATTCACACCCGAATGTTACACTATGGCAACCGTGAAAATAACTGAAACTACACATAAATTCGGCCTCAAATTTGACCGTAAATTTTTGCCCGGTTCCTTGGGATGTACCTTATTAGATGAATGAACCACCCTGCACTTGTCATATCACAAGAGAGCGATCACAGAAAAACAAGTATTAATGCTTATTCTTCGAAAAGTTGTTTCATGAGATTGAATTGTTCTTTATGTCAATAAAATGTCAATAATTTTAATTATAACCCAATATAATTCACTATAAAATTTATTTCATGGTACAATATAATTCTTTACATTTTTTGAGATATACTTTTAATTCACTTTTAATTCTCTTTTGTCTTTTATTGGTTTCGTTTAAAAGAAACAAAGACGTGCTTTGAACGATTTTTTTGTAATTTATGAAAACTCATTTCTATAAACGTATGAAGGAAGAGTTTCATTTTCCATACAAGCAGTCTGAATGGTTTTTACTTGAACAAACCACAAATTAATTGTATGGAAAATGATCAACACTAAACTTCATACACACTGGAACATAGAATATTCGAATTTCAAAATGCAACATATTTTTCAAAAATGACCCGATTTCAACTAACTATTTAACTGTGGAGAGTATTATATGGTGTTTCCGAACTTTTTGAGAATGGCTCGAGTTTTTAACAATATTATGTTTTTTTATGTTCCTATAAACAGTTATATCCACTTTTTTATTATATTAAAGAATTATTTAAGAATTCTACTTCAATTTATTCCAATTTTTCATCACAAATTTTTAGAAAAATCAAAAGTACTCTATATGTGAATTATTAGTTCAAATTATTAATTTAAATCTTAATTTGAACCTATTAAGCTAATGAGCCTTTTACAAGTGGTTCCCAAAATCTTAGAATTATTTTCAAAAAGTCCGGAAAAACATTCTTTTTTATCTTTAACTTTTATTTCTCTGTCAGCAAAATATAAAATATGTGAAGCATGAGTAGCTACTATTTCTGTTTTGTTTGTGTTACATTTTTTCGATTAATTTAGGTTATTTTTAGTCGTAAAAACGCTTAACCTGAAAAAGAACAAAATAAAAAGAAAACAAAGTATAGAAAATAAAAATTTGAAATTCGAATATAGAAAATCATATAAGAAAGGAATCAAAAATAAATAACATTAGATCTTCAAAACTTTGCCTTTTGAGCCGAACCATGCTTATAATACCGTTGAAAAAATGTTTGGGACGGGTTTGCAATAAATTTACTTTTTTTAATTATTCAAAATGTCTACTCTTATTTATCCTATCAAAATGAACTGACTGGTGTGTTCACATATGGAGTAAATTAAAGGATATATGCTTGTGAAAGTAGTGGAAAAATGTCAATTTTTATAATATAAAATTTTTAATGTCAGTTCATATAATTGCATTAAAATTAAGATGAAAACCAATGTCAAATATCAAATAAATTCCGTAATTATTTTTATTTCTTATTCAGTAGTATGAGTATTGTTTCCACTTTTCTTTTTAAAATTGGTAACAATATATAAGAGTGAAGCATTTATATGAACTGTAATAAGTTAATCGCTTTTGCTTTTCTTATCGAAGGTAATTTTTTTAGTTGTTTTGGTTGATTTGACAAATATTATTGGAAATTTCCATTTTTATTATTTCCTTTAGAAATAAACTATTATTCAGCTATATGAGCGTATTTTCATATTAAAACATTTCAAATGTCTAATTTTTGAAGTCAACAGTAATTTGCTCGAAAATGTTACGTTAGATTTTGAATAAAAATAAAACTTAAAAATGATTTAGTGGTTGAAATAAAAAAGGACAGAAACAGAATAGATGCATATTTTTAATGTTTTTCAAATTATTTTTGACGAGTTCGTTCAGTATATAAGAAATTTTGTTTTTCTCTATAAACTTTGATCATTGACAGTCAATTGCATATCTTGCGAATCAATATTTTGTGTAATTTCAAATTATCTAAATGAAATAAATAATATATCAGCAAAATGAATATAACTATTTATTTTTTAAGGTGAAATTGAAAAGATAAGTATTTTGTTTTTTGAATTGCTGAATAAAAACTGATCTTAATGGGAAATATAACAAAATTGTTATGAAATTTTGAATTTCACATATAGATATTATTGATCACTGGTGAAAAGTTGGTGAAAAATATATATTTATGTTTCTTACCGTTTACTGAATCGGGACGAAATTTTTGAAAAGAAACTAGTACGTCCAGTATGAGGCGATTCAGCTGCACCACCGCCGTTTCCTGAGTAGTCCAATGCATGGTTTCTCAGCCTTGGCTGAACTGTAAATTAAAATAATAAAAAAACTCTATCAAGTGCTACAAAATTTCATTATACTAAATCAGTCTGGTATCCGAAATTTCCAATTTCATTTTTGAAATCATTCTCTCGTTGAGAGCTTTCAAAATGTTATGTACATTCTACTCACCAGAGTGAAAAGTTGATCTCAATGGAACGTTTCTGGGGAAATTCCTGGTGAATTTTATGACATCATTCTGTTGTTTTATATTCCCAAATATGTTAATGTTGACATTTGAACAATGAATAAATGTCAATAAATCACATTTGCGGCGTTCAAGAAATAAAAAAATAATAATTCAGTCGAAAAATGTTCTGGGATGTATAATAATAGAGACTTCATTCAATTTAATCAAAGTAAGTAATACCCATTTGATGAGTTTGATACTCTGAACTTTTGAAAGATATTTGTGAAATGATATCTGAGAAATACTCACCATTTGAGTTTCGGCAATTGGTGTGATTTCCGGGTAAAGCATCAATTTAAATTATGTATTAAAAAAAAAAAAAAAAATTACTAAGATTTGTCTTATATATTATTAACAGAAACGGACTCGCAAATGATAACACGAAATTGTTTTGAGTAAAATCTTCCATTCAAATGATGCGAGAATGCAAGTCTCAAACTCTATACCCTTGTTAAGAACATATAAGTTCCATAAAAATTGAACTAAAAACAGACACACACACACACACACACACACACGACTTTTACAAAAAATCTGGTAAAATCATCAATAGAACTTCCGTTATTTGGCACGGAAAAGTAACTGAATGTATATTCATATGCCAATTTGATGGCATTTTAAATGAAAAATCAAATTCAGTAAGATATAAAAAGTTCATATGAAAAAATGCATCTGATAAATTATAAACTTTCCCAAGTAAATTATAAATTAAAAACAGTGAAATTTGAAATTCGTGTATGTTTTGCTTAGTTCATCAAGACAATACTGAAATGTGCATCATACTACTTCTGTTCCGATTCTTCTATATGAGCTTTATATTTCTTTTCATTACTTGGTAGTACGAATCATCAATCCCCGAGACATTCTTGAAAATGAAAGCTTTACCAAAACATTTTCTGATACTTCATTTTCGTAAGTTCATATCTGTAAAGTCTTATAAGATGCATTTATTATTTTATGTATAATTAGAGTGTTTCCCATATCTATAATTAAAAAAATGGTATGTTTCAATTTAAAGAGCATAAAGTTCTGTTTTAAGTCGTAGCATTAATGTAAAGCACCGATTGATATTGACACTTCCCGAAGCAAAAAACTCATTAAAGCAAAACATTTCTAATGTCTAAATATTGAATTAGTATTATTGATGTGAACCGAGCCTTATGACATTTGACGATCATTTCATTGGTTTTCAAAATGTCATAAACGCCGCTTCATTCATACCGAGAACACGTTCGGCGTTGTGAATAGCAAGTCAACAAATCAATCTTTCACTTTATTACGATTTAAACTACAGCAGTGTAAATTCCAATTTAACGCTTCAATCATTCTACGATTTTGCTGATAATTCATATTATTTTCGATATACGATCAATCGATTGACAAATTGTTGAATTCAAGTCACCAAACTTAATCATTTTATTCCCATGAAAAATATTGGTTAATTCATCAATAAAAACAATTATTTTTAATGAGAAATCAAAAATTGAATTACGTGCTTATTCCAAGCAGTTATTTCTCTTGTTCTTATTGTAAAATTGATTTTTATTTCATAGCACGTAATAGAAGCCATCTATAACGTGAAATATATGTAAGTAGTCTAATAATTATTTAACGTTGAACATATCATTTCATGGAAAAAGTAATGAATTTCACAATTAATCTGCAGTACATAATTCTGTTGCGTGAAGTGGTGAAATTCATTTCGAGCGGTGATACCCATTTTGAATTGGCTCCATTGTTCAGAGAAGAGAAACAGTTATTGTTTGGGCTCAAATTGAATCCGAATACTCAATAGTATGCGTTACATTGTTTTCTTCTCTAAATCACTGCCATTGTTATCAATCCAAAGATTTTTGTCATTTTTGTGTGCTGCATCATTTTGTGTGTGTACCAAAAAAGGAGATAGATTCTTGTTCTGTTGTCGCTCGAAAAAATTGAATTTAAAACATGGGTGTGCGTGTGTGCGTGTGTGCATATTTGTGCCGGATATTTATTCATTCGTAAATTTCTATAAAAAATCTCGATATTTTTGTGTCTCAGCCAGGTATCATTAATATGAAGAAAAAGAACTGAGTTTTCAATGCTTCATATTGTTAAAGCATACAATGGTTTTTTTCCGACTCGTTGACAAATTTTTATAAAAATGACTTTAATCTATTTCCCTTGTTTTCATTGAAAAATGTCATCAAAGTGCCAGCTAGTGACCCAAATAAACTTTATCGGTGCGGAGTTTTGTATGACATCGTCAATAAGTTGAATGTGTTCCCGGAAATCGACCAACATGATCTCACGACCAATACAAAAAATTGGTTCAAAGCTGTGCCGATGTATCTATCTATGCAACGCGATCTTGTCTTCTCAAAAATTGATTCCGAAACAGTTAACTGAAGACGGAAAACCAAGTGGAAAAAATATTTCAAAAAAGGTTTTCAACGCGAATGAAGATTACATATATGGAATCAGTATTATTCGGTGCATATTGTGCTTGAATTTACTAATTTTTTTTTTTTTTTTTTATTTGCAGATCAACTTTGTAAAAAAGAGCAAGCAGTTCCATTGGGAGACACATCAAAACGTTCGAAACGCAAAAGCGAAGCGATTTACAAAACATTTCATCGAGAAAGACAAGATCGAGAGAATCGTGAGCTGTACGCAATGATGCCATCACCAAAAGGTTCACAGTGGCTGAGCTATATTAAGCATCGAGTTAAGATGACCAAACATGGAATCGAAGCTTACTCGAATGCAAAGTACACTAAACTCGCCTTGGACAAATACATTAGGAGCAACAAAGCTATCGACGGATTTGTGAACAAGATCACCAATAAGGATCCGACTCTGTTATTCCATGGTGCTGATGGCGAAGTACCACCTGATTGCCCGATGAGAATTAAAAAACACGTGCGGTGTCCGGGTGTACGCAAACTGATGCAGGCATATAAGAAGCAACCATACATTGTTGTCGTGCCGGTGGACGAATAGGGAACATCTCAAACAGACGCAAGATGTATGTGCCGATTCCAAAACCAACCCAAATCGGCTAAATTCAAGATGTGTCGGTGCATACTCAACGCCATAACACTGCTGCCAACCAAAATTGTGTCTAAGTTTGGCAAGACAGATACATCTACATATCGACAGTTACAACGCACATTGAACAGAGCATTTGAAATAGAAGAGGAGCTAATGTCAAGAGTAAAACCTTACTACAAAAAATGGCAATTAGACCTCGAATGCACCGTGACTTGGCATCGTGACGTCGTGTCTGCTAAGAACATTCTACTGAAAGGTAAGGATATTGATACACAATGTGATTGAATGATCGCAAAAAAAGATTCATTTTTTCGATTGATCAGGACTATGGACATTGCTTGGACTTCCAATACCTGCTGCAATCAACCGATATTGGAATCAAATCAACGCCGATGCCGCCGTCTTCGACGACGATAACGACGTGGACATATCCGAAACCGAGTTCGAATAGCAGCCAACTAATCATCACAATACCATACAATAAAATAAAATAAATCATAATTAACCAGAGTATTGCTCAGCGTTGCTGCCATCCACAGCATATTAAAATATCTTGCTGAGAATGCGTCGTCCGTCGCATGCGAATGTACGTAGCAGTTTATACATCACAGC